TTTTTCACTATCCCGAATCCCGTTTTTCTTTCCCAGGAAAATACATTTAAAGTCTAATTTCTACAAAAGCTAATTTATGTACCATGTAGATTGGCCCTTTCGAATGATACTTTGAATTTACGCGTGTTTTTAAAGGCTTCTGCAAAAAAGAAATAGCTTTTGTACCTCAGTATGATGCAAGAGCATGCTGTGACCGATATCACGATATGATATGGCCGTAAGATAAAACGAGACCAAAACTCTTACTGTAGCAGAGCTGACATCACTATTTGCCGTTCTGATCTAGGACCATCTAGCGGTTAAGCGGTTGAAAAAATCCCCTCAAGATTACAATAAATGTGAACCCGTGAAGAGACTGAAGAGCTTGAGCAATTGAGTCAATTGAGCATCGAGTTAATAACTGGTATGCTATTACACCTGGTTAGAACAAAATACCCTCTGACAGTTTCAATGAGATAACTATTAACCAGGCACACTCTATGGTTTGGTCTGAAAGGAGACACCACTTAGCGCTCGCCTGATTGATTCGCTTTGGCCGCTAGACGATTTCCCAAATACCCGACAGACAGGCGAAAAAAATCCCGCATCTTGTGCCCAAATTTTGGCGAGTCCCGCTTCCCGGGAAGCAGTCAAATCCTGTGTCCCGTCAAGATATTTAACGTTTTCCCGATTCCCGCACCGTGTTTTGGTCAAATCCCGGATCCCGAGAATACCCTTCCAGACCCTCGTGAAATAGTAGTGATCAGTAACGCAACTTGCCTAGTGAAATAGTCATGCAAATTTGTAACGTGACTCGGAGAAACGTGATCGATGTAAACACAATGACCGGATGGGGCACTGAGTTAATAAGATTGACTTTCAAGATATGAGATAAAAGAATATTGTATAGATCGTTTTCACGTGACGTCATCAAATTCCAAAATCCAAAACTAAAGAGCACGAAAATTTTTATCCTCATGAGGCATAAGGGGATCTAACCTTATATCTGTTTACGACTTTTCAGCCCAATTGCATGCTTTGTTTGGAAACCAGCGCCGTTTGAGTTATGGCGGTGCGTGACATACCGCTCCGATCGCGTTTGAGGAAAAACATACACTTATCTAGTGACTTTTAGCCTTTTTAGGACTTAAAGTGTTAGGAAAGTGCTTGTGTAAATGTTT